TCAAACTAAATCAAACCAGAGCAATGACCAAATCACGACAAAATCACGTCACAGCACACCACACTCAAATCAAAATCAAACATCGACTCACAGCTGAATCAAATCAAAACAAATTAGGTCAGGTCCAATTTGGTGGGCTCTTCTGTGGTATGGGCAAAGAGGACATATTACGCGTGAATGAAAATGGTTCCTCGAAACAGCGGCTTTTTTCTTGCTTCAAGGTCCAAACGCAACCACACACCATAAGTGGTGTTTACCACGAGGTCCATCAGACGTTAGGGGGTGGAAACGAATCGTTTGTGACGACAGTGCCGCAGGGCCCCGCACACCTTTGTGAACGCCGCGACGGTGGGGCTCCATTACAGGCTGACCCTTCAGGAGGCAGCACCTCGGCCAAAACGTCCTGGGGCAGAGAAGGAAGCGGCTCTTCGGAGCTAACAAGATGCATCCTTCTGTTTTGGATTTCGCTTGGGCAGCGAATGCGCTCGGAACACCTTTTGATGGACCCCTTGCCAAATCGGTGCCAGATGAGCAACGCCCAAAGCCGATTCGCATTGGCCATTCTCAGGGAGTGTTACTGCCATTTTTTTCGTGGGGACTCTAGCAAGGCCTTTGCACACATTGGTAGAACCGAAAGTCAACGGGTTTTGGGCGCTGAGATGATGCTGCTGATTGCTGGATCTGCGATTTCACTTGCGGCCTTGCCATTCGACAGTTGATTGGGGCCAAGGAACAGCTGCACAAGTTGGTCAAGGAGCGGCAATGCGGGCAAGTTGAGACCCTGCAGTCGACGAGCTAAGTTGGCAAGCTTCAGGTTTAAGTCAGCTCATCCAGCTAATGGGGCTTAGGCGGGGAAGTCAAGTCATTGTCTCCTCCGGGACTAGGTCCATGTCATGCCTCCAAGCTAAGTTGAGGGAGACTATCCCCTTGCAACATGGAGTGAGTCTCTTTTTGGTTCCAGCGATGCAATATACACATGTATATATATATATATATATATGTGTATATATATATATATGCACCCCCCCCCCATGGACCCTGGTTTTACTGCCTTTTGGGGATGGCAAATCTAGAATTTCCAAATTTATATTCTCGAAATTTCCAATTGTGGGTCCCCAAAGCGTGATAATTTGGATCCCGGAGTCCTCCACAATGTCCCTGTATGATACCCTTTGCACATAAGATGTTACTTCAACTAGAATTGGAATTTTGAATATAGTTTAGTATGGATATAGTTTTCAAAAATGTGTTTATGTTCAATTACAGCTTAAACAAGCAAATCCTTTCCAAATAGCAGCTACATGAAAATGTAAATATATATTTTCGGCTAAACTCCAACTAATCTATAACACAAGAAGTTAGATGGAAGTTTTTTCCCAACTATAATCCAAGTGGCAAGTATAATCTAAGACGAACACAACTCAATTTGCTTTTGATAATATCAAGTGAATAGAGACTACATCTCAAATATAATTCATATTAAATATGGCTAAACATTTGGAAATTGAAAATAGGATTTGTGTTGTTTACATTCTGGCCCTTTTGTAGCATAAGAAAGGTCCGACATTGAACTTGTTAGACGGTGTTCCAAAGGGAAATTTCAAGGGAAGAGAGGTTCAAAATCTAAAACTATCTCGAAACAGGGATTCTAGCTAAACCGTTGTATTTAAAGTTCTATTTGCGCAGGAAAGTTAATTCTATGTCAAAAGGTGGAGGTAGTAGATGAGCAAATGTGGACAGGTAGTTGAAGAGGGTGGGGGACGGTGTGTGAACGTACATACATATGTATATCTATATATACACATACATACACACATATATATAGTACCCCCAATGATCCCGCGCCTCCTCATAAAATACTGGAAAATGCAGTATTTTTGAGCGTTGCACCTGCCTTTGTTTACCTCCTGGAAAGGGGTCAACATGAGCATAGCTGACATGAAGCTCACCAAAAGCACTGGAAAGTTTGTCTAACCAATAACTTGAAAGTGTGTCCACTGGATCGCTAAGCACTTGAAAATTTGCTACTATCGGATGGAAGATTCAATATTGAAGATTACACAGAACACTTTCCTGAGAATTGTCAATCCTGGCCAAACCCAAATAGCATTCAAGTTCTTCTAACACTTGAAAGTGCTTTACCACTGGATTGGGGATTCAATATTGAGGAGCCCACAAACCACCACTTTCCTGAGAATCATCCATCCTGGTCAACCCCTAAAATGTTCAAGTTGTTCTATCACCTCGAACATCCGTTACCACTGGATTGAACTATTTCACGGAAAGCTTTTCCGATAATCTTATTGAACACCGAGAGTATTGGGGCAACCCTGGAATTTTTAAAACTTTTTAAAAATTATGGGATTCAAGATTCAAGATTCAAGATTCCCAGAAAATATTTTCTCAGATTTTTGAATCTTGAATCCATAATTTTTAAAAAAATCTGGGATTCAAGATTCAAGATTCCCAGAAAATATTTTCTCACATTCTTGAATCTTGAATCTTGAATCCCAGAATTTTTGATAATTTTTAAAAATGTCTGAGTTGTTCTTGCATTCTTGGATGCATTCAAACTCTTTCAGATTGCAGGTGCTGATGTCATTGCTTTCATCACATCTGTATGCATGCATGCGTATCATATACATGTACGACCCTCCCCCCAATTTTGACACAAATCCAAGAAGCAAAAATAAGCATAAAACACTGGAAAATACAGGTCAACCGCACAAAACAAGGGTCCATGGGGGGGGGTACCATATATATATATATATATGTATCTATATATATGTGTGCGTGCGTGCGTGCGTGCGTGCGTGCGTGCGTGCGTGTGCGTGCGTGCGTGCGTGCGTGCGTGCGTGCGTGCGTGCGTGCGTGCGTGCGTGCGTGCGTGGGTGGCTGGCTGGGTGGGTGGGTGGGTGGGTGGGTGGGTGGGTGGGTGGGTGGGTGTGTGTGTGTGTGTGTGTGTGTTTGTGTGTGACTGTGTGTCTGTGTGTCTGTGTGTCTGTGTGTGTGTGTGTGTGTGGGTGTGTGGGTGTGTGGGTGTGTGTGTGTGTGTGCGCGTGTGCGCGTGCGCGTGTGCGTGTGTGCGCGCGTGTGTGCGCGTGTGTGGGCGTGTGTGTGTGTCTCTGTGTCTGTGTGTCTGTGTGTGTCTGTGTGTGTGTGTGTGCCTGTGTGCCTGTGTGTCTGTGTGGCTGTGTGTGTCTGTGTGTGTGTGTCTGTGTGTGTGTGTGTGTGTCTGTGTGTGTGTCTGTGTCTGTCTGTGTGTGTCTGTGTGTCGAGGTGTGTCGATGTGTGTCTCTGTGTGTCTCTGTGTGTCTCTGTGTGTGTCTGTGTGTGTCTGTGTGTGTGTGTGTGTCTGTGTGTGCGTCTGTGTCTGTGTCTGTGTCTGTGTCTGTATCTGTGTCTGTGTCTGTGTCTCTGTGTCTGTGTCTGTGTCGCTGTGTGTGTGTGTGTGTCTGTATGTGTGTGTCTCTCTGTTTTTGTGCTGTGTCTCTGTCTCTTTGTGTCTTTGTGTCTCTGTTTCTCTGTGTCTCCATGTCTCCGTGTCTCTGTGTCTCTCTGCCTCTGCGTGAGTCTCTGTCTGTGTCTCTGTCTCCGTCTCTGTGTGGCTGGCTGACTGGCCAGCTGGCTGGCTGGCTTGCTTGCTTCTGTCTGTCTGTCTGTCTGGCTTCGGCATCCTCTCCTGCACTGACCACCTAAGAAACCCTGGAATGATGACTCCCCTGTAAATACCCCAAGTGAGTGAAGATTTGTGAGCGGTTATGAGTTGCTTTGGATATAAGCATGCACATGAGAGTTAGTTCATGCGCATATGCTATGAGCATTGATCCTCCTGCTGGCGGGTCCATCACAGGATAAGCCCAGGATGAGCCCACGGGAGGTCATGGACTGCCCCTCCATAGACCCCGCGATCCCCGCCCTGCTTCCCCCCGGGTGGTTGTGCCTTGAGAAAGGATTTCCACGCCAAGCGAAAGAAGGCCGAGGCCGAAGAGCTCAAGAAGAAGCTCGAGGAGGAGGACTCAACATTCGAGTTGGGTTTTTGAAGAGGGACCCGTTCGTCTTTTTCGATCCCCCAGCCTGCTTTTTTGGGACCCATAAGCAGTAGGTAGAGAGTCAAGGTTCGAAGCTGCCGTGGTCAGAGTCAGCAAACATTTGAGAATAACAGGCATGGCCCTGCACACTTGAAGCTGGAATTGCCGGTCTTTGTCAAGAAGATTGGTATGGAGAAAAGCATGACCATAACCGGTGATCCTTTGGTTATCTAGGTGTTCTAAGTTTGGCTCACCGAGGCAATGCAATGCTCACAACTTGACTAGGAGAAGAAGAAGAAGGAGGAGCTGCCTCAGAACGACGTCCCTGATGACGAGTTCTTTGCCCAGTACATGTGAGTTTAGCCTGGGCGTGAATTGCGAGCAGCAGAAATGGCAGTGGGATGGGGCCGTTCAGCCAGATGCTACCTCTGTTTCAAGCTCAGTGGACCGTGCCACCGTTGTGTCCAGCACCAGCGTCCCGCAGCCGGTTGCTTGTTGCTCTCGGGAAATCCGATGGCCCAAGGAGGCCCAACCTCGCGGACAGCAAGCCATTGGCGATGCGCAAAACGCTTGCTGGTTCGGGGCTGCAAGACTTCGGCCCACGGGTGACATGGCTCAGACTTTTTGCTCAGGCCTGCAAAAGTGGTTGGCGCCCGCCGAAATGACGTCAACAGGTCCCCAATGAATGTTCGTACGCACATGTTGCCGTCGAGAGTTGCGGCGACAGAACTGTGATTGACTGCAGCGGGCCTTACAGCAGGTCCAAGCTTAATGCGCCACACAGATCTGCTGACAGGTCAAGCAGGCAAAAGGAGATGCTCAGAACACACGTACGAGGACAGCTCACAATAGCCTTGCACGGGGCGCTTGAATCAGAATACCGCCAAAAATCCTTAAATCCAACTGGTCACAGTGCAGAGCGTGCCCCAGACGTACCGACGTACCAGTTGCACCTCTTGAGATGGCCACATGACGACAGCCATGGAGGCGGGCATCAACCCCTGGATCCAGGCTTCTTGCACTCCCAACGCGTGCATTGGGCTGCCAGTGTTTCAAGCAACGACGCTTGTTGCAGGGCAACAGATTTCAAGTTGCAGATCCGCGGCAGAAGTGGCAGCAACCCTAGGCTCTCAAAAGGCTTCATGTCAGAGCTCACCGGGCATGAGGAGGGGCTCGATCAGGGCTCATTCCGAAGGCTCCATAATATCAAGATACGACCTCGCTCCCTTTGATCCAACCGCGCAGGTTGCGAAACCGCAGGCTCGAGGGACTGGACGGGGGGGGGGGTGCAGGCCATGCTTTCAGCGTAGCTGACCTGTGTAAGTTGTTCGTGGAGACTTAGGCAGAAGAAGTTTGACTAATTTTTCCTGACTGCGCACACAGGCTACACCTTATCGGCAGCGCCCATTTTGCAATGGTATGAATCTTAAGTGGGGGAGCCTTTCGGTGGACGTCATGTAGGCAAGGATTTATGTCCGCCATCGGGCTTGGTGAACATCACCTCTCCCTAGAGAGCTTCACCAATGTATCCATCCACCGCAGCGCCTCAGCCAGCCGCGAGTTTTTGGCAAGACTGAGCATCTGATTTTCGCCAGCTTGAAGGATTCCCTTCCAGGCAACCTCTGATTCAGATATCTTTTTTCTGCTCTTGAAGCTTCTTTTTTCTCTGGGGTTGAGCCTTGGGATCTTTCAGGCCGAAGCCAGGGAGATTGGCCCGCCAGTGAGGACCGGTCGGTTGATCGCTTGGGTCGGCCTCGTTTTGTGTGGCTGATTTGCTTTGATTTTCGTCTGGTGGGCTGGTTGGTGGTGTGTCGTTTTGCAAACCCGCTGCAACAAAACCGGCTTCGGATGGCCCATTCTCATCAACCGGATGCAGACTTGGTATGTGACTCGTTTGGGTTGGTTTGAAGGGAAACCAAAAGCAAACCAGCCACTTTGAGGATTTGAGCCAAACCTTTTTGTGCCCTGCTCACCGTTGTGTTCCTGGCTCCTGGCTCTTGCAGGCTTGGTGTCACTGAGCCCATCTCCCTGGGCATGCCAACACAGGCGGGAATCGCGAGCCCTACAAGAAGAGTGCCGATTGTAAGAGGCTACAGATATACCCTGCATACGGAAGCTCATCCGTGACTTGTAGCATTTCTAGGAATGCGCTTCTTCAAAAATTGCGCCCAACCATCTACAATCGCGTGGGTCAGATTCAATTCAAAGAAACAAGTCTTTGGGGCTCTAGGTAGGCTGCGCAGTTCCTGTATGTTCGGTCCCGGCACGAGGCGGAGAAGGTGTTGGACGAACAGCTCCTAGAGGAACGGGGGGTCGGTCGTCCGCTTGCTTCTACGGAAGGTGGGCTCTGAAAATTCTAAGTGCTTCCTGAACGGATGCCGGCTTCTGGCGCAGGTCTGAGGAGCATCTCTTAGATTTATTCAAGTGGAGGCTTGTGCGGAGGAAACTGGCGACATTGATACAGCCATTGCCGGCAGTTGGATTTCATCGATCGGTGCTGAAAAAGACCCATCCGAAGCTGCGGGCTCAACGCACGATGAGTGACGTGGTTGGCAGGGCCTGGAAGAAATGTCGAGAATGGAGGCGGGCACCACATATGTAATGCCCGTGCGGTCTGGTTTGCTCCTCCACAGGAATCAACAATCCCCAATCAGCAGCCCGTGCCAATTTCGACAGGAGGGTGTTTTTCTTGCTTTTTTTTTTTTTTTTTCGTCCTTATCTTTGCTTTGCCTACAACATGGTTCCAGGGTGGTGTCGCTCACGCGTTACCTTGGTGCTTTGGTGAGTGGGTGTGGGTGTGGGTGGTGGGCGGTGGGTGGTGGGCGGTGGGTGGTGGACGAGGGTGGTGGGTGGTGGGGGTGGGCGTGGGCGTGGGCGTGGGCGTGGGCGTGGGCGTGGCGGGTGGTGTGGGGTTGGGTGGGGTGGTGTGGGTTAGGGTTGGGGTGGGGTGGCACCACATTAGCAATGGAATAACTAGCTACTCGGCACATTGCAAACGCCATCACATCAGCATAACAAATACTCTGGCCACTTGCCAGTGTTGCTGGCGATGACCAGCAAAATTGCAAAAGCTCGTTTTTGGTGAGCCGAAAGCCGAGCGCCTGAACTTTTTTCAGTGATGAAATGAGCAAACACCGCGTCTGGCTGCGGCTGTATCACTACAGGCAACACGAAACGGGAAATTACTTCGGTATGATCGGAAATCGGGCACTAGGCGCCCTTTGTTTCAAGGCACGTCTGCGCTGCAGGCTATGAAGTGCTCGAAGTCAGCCGAGCGGAGAGCGCTTCCTTGTGCTGAAGTTCAGCGCAGTCCAGAGCAAAGTGCTGAAACTGAGCCAGGAGAACGTGGAAGATTTGCCGCGTGGACAAGTGTCTGGGCTTCCTACAGGTCGTAATAAGCTCGAACGGCGGTGAAGTCGCCCGCGCGCGTGCCAAGCAACTGCTGAGGCAGTGGTTCTGCGAGCTCGCCGCCTTGCGAGGGCCGCTTTTTCTTGCCCGCCGCGTCGTGGTCTGGAAGGTGCAAATCTTCACGCGCCACAGCCCCCAAGTTCGGATGGGGCGTGGTGCTGCGGCAGCTGTCGTCGCTTGCCAACGGCGACGGGGACAGAGGCTTGTGCCAGAGGGCGCATCTGCCGCTTTTGACGAAGGCCTTGTTGCCCAAGCTCGACGCCTTCCAGCTGAAGAGCAAGACGAGGCGCTCAGCGACGTTCCGATCTACTCTACGTCGCCCAGGCGAGTCTCGCGCGGGCGTCCTCGTCCCCCTTCCTGGTCCAACTGCTTCGCCAAAAGAAAACTGGCAGCATTGTCTGTGCCGGGAGGACGGCCTCAGCGCCTCACGCCACTGACCACAGCCCTGAAGTCAATCCCTCGCGCCCGCCCCAATGCCATCTTTGACACGCCCTACACCTATTCTGGACCAACCTCAGATCCAGATCCAGGCAAGACTCAGCCGCAAAATGGCAAAACACACATTGATGATTCTTTGAGCTCTCTGTTGCAAGGCCTCACTGGAACATGTTTCTCAACACACATCTCACCAAAATGCTTCTCCACAAATACTGTCTGGTGTTTCACCGACAGGACCGAGGAGATCCCATGGCAGCAAGCTCGCGTCTCGGGTGTGTTCAAGAAAGCCTCGCAGGCTAAGCCATTTTAGGGGACTGCAGCTCGAGGCAACGTCAACCATACCTTTGAAGATTTTCTGGATCGCTCCCTTGACTCCTGTAGAGTTTTGAACACCTTTCGGGCCATCTAGAAATTGAGACTTTCCTTTGGCCTTGGCCAAGGCTTTTTCGGGAGCCCTGAGCCTTCTCGGATTCCGCAAGGCTCCCGGCTGTGGGGGGCGCTCTGTGCGGCACCTTTGGCGCCGTGGTCAGCGGCCCCTTGCTGGCGGCCACGGGTCTGCTGGGGGGCGCCGGCGTGGCCTTGCTGTCCCAGGAGATGTCGGGCCCGTGGTTGAATTTCGTGGCCGTTTTCGAGGGTGCCCTTTTTGGGTTGGTTTCAAGTTTGAAGGGCACAAGAGGCACTCGACCCTTTTTGGGGGTCCCCCCTATTTTGATTGCAAACCCATTTGGAAGGGTGCTCAAAAATCCTTTTTGGGCGACCCGCCATCAACTCATTTGTAGCTTGGATGTCACTTCCTCGGTTAGCCTGGGTTCCTAAGGGTGCTTCGCATGTTTCCTCAATTGAGGCCCGTTGTTTGTTCGGTGGCTAAATGGAGAACACAGCAAATCAACCTCATCCCCCCAAGAAAAAGAGGGACAATCAGAAGGAATATTTTGGAGAGACCATGTTCCTGGAAAAACACAACAAAAGCAAACACAATACAAGGGTCTTTTTTGGTGCAACCAAAAGGAGTGCGCCCCAAACTGTTCCCCATCGAATCATGCCGAACTCCCGACATCCGGGCCCAGCTCTCAAATTGCAAGCTAAGCCGTGCCCGCTCAGATTGACTTACCAGCAACTTGTGGGTAGGTCGACCCATTGGACTTGGGGCATGACTCGAGGGTCATGGAAACAGTGGTGGCCTTCTTCCAACCTTGGACACTAAAATGGATGCAAGCAAGAGTGGCTATGGCATTTTGGTGCGTGTCGCATCTGGGTGTTTCTCAACATGGAAGACCAACAGGGTTGCCACAAATGGTTTTGTTTGAGTTCCCTTCAAAAAACAACCTTTAGAGGGGGTTCACCATTCTGAGACCCCCCATCTATTTGGTGTCGCTTTTTGAGGGAACCTTTTTTTCCCCACATCTTTGTGTGGGGTTCTTACTTTTTCCGCTCGTCGTCCGCGCGCCGCGTCTCCTCCTCCTCCTCCTCCCGCTCGTCTCCGTCTCACTCACTCACTCACTCTCACTCACTCAACTCACACTCACTCAACTCACACTCACTCACTCACACTCGCTCACTCACTCACTCACTCAGTCACTCACACTCACTCACACTCACTCACTCACACTCACTCACACTCACTCACTCACACTCACTCACACTCACTCACTCACGCTCACTCACTCACTCACTCACTCACGCTCACTCACACTCACTCACTCACACTCACTCTCATTCACTCACTCTCATTCACTCACTCACTCACTCACTCGCTCACTCACTCACTCACTCACACTCACTCACTCACACTCACTAGAGGGACAGGATGTTGTCGCGCGCGCGGCGGGGGGCGTGCGAAATCGTGGCAGGCGCAGCACTTTGGCGATGCCGTTGCGAAATCGTGGCAGGCGCAGCACTTTGGCGATGCCGTTGCCGAAGTCGTGGCAGGCGCAGCATTCTGTGCATCTGGGTGTGTGTTTGTGTGGCAGGGGTCGCATTCGGCAGCTGTCTAGAGGGACAGGATGTTGTCGCGCGCGCGGCGGGGGGCGTGCGAAATCGTGGCAGGCGCAGCACTTTGGCGATGCCGTTGCGAAATCGTGGCAGGCGCAGCACTTTGGCGATGCCGTTGCCGAAGTCGTGGCAGGCGCAGCATTCTGTGCATCTGGGTGTGTGTTTGTGTGGCAGGGGTCGCATTCGGCAGCTGTCTAGAGGGACAGGATGTTGTCGCGCGCGCGGCGGGGGGCGTGCGAAATCGTGGCAGGCGCAGCACTTTGGCGATGCCGTTGCGAAATCGTGGCAGGCGCAGCACTTTGGCGATGCCGTTGCCGAAGTCGTGGCAGGCGCAGCATTCTGTGCATCTGGGTGTGTGTTTGTGTGGCAGGGGTCGCATTCGGCAGCTGTCTAGAGGGACAGGATGTTGTCGCGCGCGCGGCGGGGGGCGTGCGAAATCGTGGCAGGCGCAGCACTTTGGCGATGCCGTTGCGAAATCGTGGCAGGCGCAGCACTTTGGCGATGCCGTTGCCGAAGTCGTGGCAGGCGCAGCATTCTGTGCATCTGGGTGTGTGTTTGTGTGGCAGGGGTCGCATTCGGCAGCTGTCTAGAGGGACAGGATGTTGTCGCGCGCGCGGCGGGGGGCGTGCGAAATCGTGGCAGGCGCAGCACTTTGGCGATGCCGTTGCGAAATCGTGGCAGGCGCAGCACTTTGGCGATGCCGTTGCCGAAGTCGTGGCAGGCGCAGCATTCTGTGCATCTGGGTGTGTGTTTGTGTGGCAGGGGTCGCATTCGGCAGCTGTCTAGAGGGACAGGATGTTGTCGCGCGCGCGGCGGGGGGCGTGCGAAATCGTGGCAGGCGCAGCACTTTGGCGATGCCGTTGCGAAATCGTGGCAGGCGCAGCACTTTGGCGATGCCGTTGCCGAAGTCGTGGCAGGCGCAGCATTCTGTGCATCTGGGTGTGTGTTTGTGTGGCAGGGGTCGCATTCGGCAGCTGTCTAGAGGGACAGGATGTTGTCGCGCGCGCGGCGGGGGGCGTGCGAAATCGTGGCAGGCGCAGCACTTTGGCGATGCCGTTGCGAAATCGTGGCAGGCGCAGCACTTTGGCGATGCCGTTGCCGAAGTCGTGGCAGGCGCAGCATTCTGTGCATCTGGGTGTGTGTTTGTGTGGCAGGGGTCGCATTCGGCAGCTGTCTAGAGGGACAGGATGTTGTCGCGCGCGCGGCGGGGGGCGTGCGAAATCGTGGCAGGCGCAGCACTTTGGCGATGCCGTTGCGAAATCGTGGCAGGCGCAGCACTTTGGCGATGCCGTTGCCGAAGTCGTGGCAGGCGCAGCATTCTGTGCATCTGGGTGTGTGTTTGTGTGGCAGGGGTCGCATTCGGCAGCTGTCTAGAGGGACAGGATGTTGTCGCGCGCGCGGCGGGGGGCGTGCGAAATCGTGGCAGGCGCAGCACTTTGGCGATGCCGTTGCGAAATCGTGGCAGGCGCAGCACTTTGGCGATGCCGTTGCCGAAGTCGTGGCAGGCGCAGCATTCTGTGCATCTGGGTGTGTGTTTGTGTGGCAGGGGTCGCATTCGGCAGCTGTCTAGAGGGACAGGATGTTGTCGCGCGCGCGGCGGGGGGCGTGCGAAATCGTGGCAGGCGCAGCACTTTGGCGATGCCGTTGCGAAATCGTGGCAGGCGCAGCACTTTGGCGATGCCGTTGCCGAAGTCGTGGCAGGCGCTGCATTCTGTGCATCTGGGTGCTCTGTAATCGCATCCATACAAGGGGCGCACGGTATGGGAAAAACATAGCATGTGGGGTTATCCGGTCCTTTAATTGGGTGGGTTCAAAACAGAAACTTGGTACTCCGTTTTTTGGTGGCTTCAGAGGGAAACCACAAGGAAAACTCGCCCATTTGGGGGGTTCGCAAGGAGCTGCGGTGGCGAGAGGACGCAGAAGCGGCGGAAGCGGCGCCTGAGAAGCGTGTCCTGGAGCTCAAGCAGGTGCATTTTAATGCGAGGGTATAACGGGTCTGTTTGTTTTGAACCATCCTTTTCAGACGGTTTTTTGGGAAACCAGAGGAACCAACTTGTTTTTCATCTTTTTTTTCTTTGGGGGGTCCGCTATTTTGGGGACAAAGCCAAATGTTGTGTTTGGGAAATATAGGGACTGAGGATGTAGACCGTGGCTGATTGAGTTTTGACTGGTGACCCTGTAGTGGACATTGTTTGAGTACAATCCAGGTTGTGGTTGTAGTTGGGTGCCTTTACCCTCTTAAAGGTCGGATTGAAAGGGACTCCCCAGGAAACTTGAAGTCCGTCGTGGCGACCAAAACCAGTCACCAACTACTCTTGTGAGCAGACACGTTTGTGGGACACTTTTGCCATGTAGCCGCAACCAGCCCATTTCGGTTGGACGCCCAAAACGTAGGAGGTGAGCTGTCAGAAGACCGCCATCGCCGCGGCGCTGAGCTCCTGGATCTACCTCTCGGGGTCCCGAACTGTGAGGAGCGTTTGGGTTTTCCCCAAAGCGGATTTCGGTTTTCCCCTTTTTCAGCTCCGGAAGGCAGTCAAATTGTCAAAGCAAGCGCCATGAGACCCATGTGGGACAGGCTCCAGAGCAAGTGGCTGGACCGATCCAACCGGCCAATCCTTTTTTTCAGGCGCCTTTGTGTGCTAAGATACGACCTCGGACCTGCAAACCAAGCCATGGCAAGTCAGTCGCCGCATTTTTGTTCTTCTGCGGCCGACCGTTTGGCACTGTTTCTTGCGTTAGATCCTCCCGCCCAGAGGATCAAGCGCTACAGGGACGGCAGAAAGGCAGCCTACTATGACTACGAGAATGCCGATCTGAGGCAGAAGCCGAAAGGCATCGTTCCAGCTGGGTGGTGCGTGCCGGTCATCAAGGACAGAGTTCCATGCGGGATATATCCAACCCACTTCTTTTTTGTCCGTGCATATGCTGCTTGCCACCACCCTTCCTTCGGTCGAGCGAAAAAAAATCGCCAGGAGATGACCAAGAAGGGGCGAGATGGCCAGATGCATGTGTGCCTGCTGGTGCGCTACTTGAGCATGCCAGTATTCATTTGGAAGATGCACACAGAGGACGTTGGACGCTTCGCCCTTGTGAAGGATGAAGCTGATGCCTACCAGAGCGCTGCAATGGAGAACGTATTGGACCAAATTCCGGCCAACACGCAGGCCACTAGTTGGGCTGGGAGTCCTCCAACAGAGAGTGAGTGAGTTTCAGGCCGTTTTTCAGGATGAATCGTTGCGATTTACATTTCAGGCAAGCACCGCAAGTTACTGCGATGCTATTTGGGCGGCGACAAATCGTTTTCCAGGCTGCTCTTTGCGCGATCACAGAAGTTCCTCCCCTGTGCAGGTGGTGGTCTTGGGAGAGCAAGCTGCCAGCCTTTGCGTGATGTTCAAGGATCGACAGGCGCGGTTTTCATACTGAAAGCATTTGGCTGGCAGAGTGCTTGTCCTGGTCTCTTCGGCGAAGTCGGGCATGTCAATGGCACTGCTAAGTTTGGTTCATTGTGTATGTGAGTGCCATACCTGCTTCCTTCATAGGTCAATTATTCTTGCTGGTCATTGTCGCTTTTGTCGCATGCCGCACGTGCCGCACGTTGCATTCACTCCTCAGCAGGTACATGTGAAGAAAGCGTGCACCTACGCTTTGGAGCAGTGCGTGGAAATCAGGGCAGAAGGTGCCAGGTTCTTCTTGACAGAGGACATGACCGAGGAGCCTGCTTTGCAATTGTCCAAGCAATCACTCCGGATGTTTAAATCACCAGCGTCAGCCAATATGGAAGAACATCAGCTGAGCAATGAATGCTCAATCACATTGTCAGGCATGTTAATGGATGATTCTCATCACCGGCTTGGTAGAGATGGTGATGACTTCTTATTTAACCTTCTCAGCGGGCCAACACGCGGCAGGTTTGCTGGCTCCTCAACAGAGTTGTTTTTTTTGGGGGGGTCATGTACATTCTTGGATGTCAAGGTTATGCATGGTGTGGTGTGGATGGTCTAATGGGTCATGTGTCCAGGAGCAAGGAATAATTCGAGGAGGTACGCGGCTGCCACGCTTGAAATCTGGCCTGTGCTTCGAGAGAGATGGCGTGGCATATCCCTGGGTGCAGGCGGGGCACTAACATGGAACCCGACAAGGGGTCTTTGAAGAGGAACTCGATCTTCCAGGTACACCACAGGTGCCATGTTAGTGGGAGGAAGTGTACAGCATTAGGAGCATGTGGTGCCGGCAGATGTCCCTACTGTAGTGCCACAGTGCATTCCCAAGGGCACATGTGGACTTTTATTTTCTGAGAGGTCAGGCGATTGCGTACTTGCAGATGTTCAGAAAAACCGACGCCCGTTGCAGGTGCTCTACAGGCAGCGAGAAGTGTATGTGTGGCAGCGGCGCACCAAAGAGCCGGCCTTCCGGGAGAAGGAGGTGCAGCAGGCACTGGCCAACATCCTCACCAGGAAGGACGGAATCTCCATGGGGCTTTGCCTCTGAGTATGACGATAGTTTGCTTTCCTCTCGGTTCATTATTTTGAGTGTTTCTAGGGGTTGTCAATGTCAGAAAATGTGGTCGTTTCCCTCTAACTCATCACTTAGGGGGTGACTTTGATCATGGAAAAATAATGAGGCCAGCCCCTTTGTGGGCAGCCCCAGGGCAAAACGCCACAAGTTTCGACCAACGGTCGAATCCATCCAGATTGACCCATGCTGACAGCGTCTTGGACCAACAGGCAATGTGGTGTGTGAGAAAATCAGGGATGGCCTTTGCGCTGGTTGTGACAAAAGGGGATTCCCGTTCTGCACAGCCAAAACGGAAACGCACTTCTTTGCGGGTTGATCCTAAAGTCCATTTTTTCTTGGTTTTGGTTCCGGCTTGATTCATTCTCAGCTTTCTCACTCAGCTTTCAGTTGCAACCCTTAGTTGGTTTGGATTGGGGGCATTTAGCCTTTGTCTGACAGGCAGGATTTTGTTCTCCATACCAACCTACCCCCCCCCCCCCCCCGGCCAGTTTTTTGGGTGGGTTCACAAGAAAACCGCTTTGCAATTTTTGGGAGGACCAAACAAAACCAAAAGATACCCAAACTTAGTTTGTGGGTCGCCGTTGCCAGGACAAAGTGCTCGAGGTGCAGTTCCCACGCCCCGGGCCGCTGTCGCCAAGCTGCGCCATCACCATCATCTCCCGCGAGGATTCGAATCCCGCGGATGCCGCGACGTGGACGGGTGTTGTTTTTGAGAGCATGGGGGTTGGCTTAGATGAAACGATGAATCCAAGTTTAAGGTAAGTCTCCCTCAAGGGTGATGTTTGTGGAAAGATAGGGAACCCTGCGCGCACATGGGATCACCAACTATGTCGATCATTTTGCAAACTTTTGAGCCAGCTAGGAAGTGGGTATGTATTTAGACTCACTCTCCTTAAAGTTGCACAAGCTGCCCGAACCTAACCCAAGCATATCTCTACGAATCCCCCACCCAGGCCTAGGTTCGGTGCTCTTTGGGCCCAGCATCCAATCGCCATGAAGCGTGAAAAGGCGACAGGAAGTGTTGGGATGGCTGCGATTCACACATGCATAAACAAGCAGAGTGCAGCGGTCTGTCTACTTGATGTTGGCCATACAGGTGGGCGCCACCAAAGACTGGCGTAGGTGCTTATTGTCACGATCATCCGCATTTTCAGGTAAGCCATGGATGACGCGTCTTGTTTCTCCGAATGGGGGGCGAAGTTGGGTGGGCTCGCCATGTCCTTTCCAAGTCAGCGAGGACAAACGGTTGTGGTGTCGGCCTGGAACTCTCACCTACTCTTGCCTACATGGACTGGTTTGTCCAACCCCAAGCAACGAATTGTAGGGAGCTGGTGCTCTAGGGTTCAAACCCTGACCACCACAATGTGAATATCCATGGCGGGCACACCAGCAAAGGAGGTCGTCAGTTATTCAGTCGGTCGGTCAGTCGATCGGTCGATCAATCAATCAATCAATCAATCAATCAATCAATCACTCAATCAGACATATCCGTGTGAAACGCAGGAGGAGACGCTGGTGGTCATGGCGTGGCAGGGCACGGAGTTCGATAAGCGCCCTATGGATTTGCGCCCTGGACGCAGTGAAGGTTGCTGCTGCGAGTACTGCCTACGGATATGAAGGTGTGTCTTCAAATAGGGAGCTCATGACCATTGAGCCCGGCTCTTTTTGGAGGGGCCCGGACATTTCCGACCCCATGAAAGGAGTTGTTTTCATCAGGAACCTGGACAAAACGACGTGACCACGGAAGCACATGTTCAGTCGGCGACTGCTGCCCGGGAATAAAACCAGTATCAATTATTTGTTTTGACTTTTAGAGTGTGGGAAGGCGATCCCTTCCAGCCATACTTTTGAAGCAATACAAAAGAATCGCATACGTAAACTTGATTTTGCCCCTCTCCCAAATGTGGAGCATGAGCATTCAGAAGCCACAAAAGCATCCAGCAGGTCGGAAGTGCAGGATACGTCGGATTTCGTTTGGGGGCCGAAGCCATTCCTTGCCTAAGCTCTCCCCCAGTCTTTCCGCACTCGCCATGGCAGACCTTGCAGCAGCCACGGTAGATGCAGGCGCCACAGCCTGGGTGCTGACGTCCACCGCTCTGGTGTTCCTGATGACTGCCGGGCTGAGCTTCTTCTACGGCGGCCTGGTCAGGGACACGAGCATCATCAACACCATGACGCTTGGTGTGATATGTCTGGTATGTGTGATTGAAGTCTCTTTTTCACGTAGGGCTCTTCATTTGATTGTTTGAAGCCATCCTCATCGTGTGTTTTGTTTTTGCTTCACATATATATATATATATATGATATATCTTGCCATGTGCCTGTGGAGCAACGCTGGGATATGGTGGGAAACGTAAATGAGGTCTCTCGCAACTGGTCCAAGAGCCAAGGATGATGAGCATCGTGTCCATGGGCGTCGTGACCATGACCTGGGTGATCCTCGGTTTCTCCATCGCCTTCGGCGAGAATGGCCCGGTGATCGGCAACGCGGACTACGCGCTCTTCATGAACCTGGACATGGCGCCCTGGGGCGAGTCAGGACTGCCGGGCCTGTGCTTCGCCTGCTTCCAGATGACTTTCGCCATCATCGCCAGCGCCATCATCTCCGGGTCCTTGGTGGAGCGCATGAGGTTCAGCGCCTACGTGGTGCTCATTGCTTTGTGGTCGCTGGTGATCTACGCCCCGCTCTGCCACTGGGTCTGGGGCCCCGGCGGATGGATCGAGGAGCTCGGAGCCAAAGATTTTGCGGGGGGAACCGTCGTGCACATCAGCTCCGGCGTGTCCGGCTTCGTGGCCAGCGGCCTTGTCGGCCCGCGCAGGCACGCGGAGAAGGAGCCGACCTTTGGGACATGCTCATTGGCTTATGCCGCTAATGGTTTCAAGTCCAACTCGGCAAGGATCCACGGGCACAAGTTTCCAGTCATAAGTTCCGGCACTCTCATGACACAGTCGATAGGAGTTGGGTCCGGCCAACGCGCCCTTCGTGATCCTCGGAGGCTCCCTGCTGTGGTTCGGCTGGCTGGGCTTCAACGGGGGCTCGGCCCTGGCGGTCACGGATGGCGTGGCCTCGAGGGCTGTGGCCACCACGCTGATTGCGGCGGCATCGTCCATGCTGACCTGGACCGCTCGACCGACTTGTGACTCGTGACTCGTGATTCGTGCCGACTCGTGACTCGTGCCGACTCGTGACTCGTGCCGACTCGTGACTCGTGCCGACTCGTGACTCGTGACTCGACTCGTGCCGACTCGTGCCGACTCGTGCCGACTCGTGCTGCATGTCGTCACACGGGGCCGACTTGTTTCGATCAGGATCTTCATGGAGCGGATGCTGAAGGGCAAGTCTTCCAGCGTTGGCGCCATGGCAGGTGCCGTCGCAGGCCTGGTGTGCATCACCCCTGCAGCTGGCTTTGTGACACCCGGCTGGAGCATCCTCTTCGGGGTGTTGGGCGCCCCATGGTGCTATGTGTCCGTTGAGCTGCTTAACAAGCTCAACTTTGTGGACGTGGCTCGGCAGCGTTTTTTGGGCCAAAAGGACGTCATCTGGACATGAACTGCTAAAGCATGCCATGGTCCTTTGCTTTTGTACAAGGAGGACACAAAGCACCTGCGGTTTGCGGCTTGAGTTTGGGGGGGGGAAGAATCCGGAGGATGGCTTGCAGTGCCTGATTTGAGTGAGGACACTTTGGACGCCTTCGGCCTGCACGGCATGGGCGGCATCTGGGGTGCGGTCCTGACGGGCATTTTTGCCTTGGAGGAGGGCCTGATCTACTCGGGCAGCTTCCTTCTGATTGGCAAGCAGATCGCAGGCGGGCACTGGAGAGCATGGGCAGGTCACCAAAACAGGTCACAACCGCGAGAGGAAGCGAGTACCTCAGTCTCGTTCCATCCCAAGCGCTCCGTGCTTGGGGAAAGACGGAAACACTTGATTGCCCTCTAGGAGCCTTGGCTGGCGCGGCCTTCTCTGCCGTGGGCACGGCCATCATTGTGCTGGTCATGCAGCTTTGCTGCGGTTAGTCGATGTCGGGTTTAGATGTCGATGCGGAATTTGCCTTTTTGCTTAGGAAGCTGGTGGTGGATGTGCGGGTGCCGGACGACCATGAGAGGAGCGGCGTGGATGAGCACACCCACGGTGAGTTCTACCACAGCCCGGTGAAGGCCTACAAGCCGAAGGAGTCGAGCGAAGCCTCCAGCGAGGTCTAAGGCCACGCTTGGGGATCAGAGAGAGCACAACTGCACAAGGCATCGCATTTCAGGGCAATAGACCCTGCACCGTGCAGAAGACTGGTGCGTAATTCGTGGGTTGACCCAATCGGCCACCCCTTTTCCCTTATTGGAGGGCAAATGTCAGCCAACGAGTTGGCATGTTTCGGCTCTCCTTTGCATTAGTCCCACATTTCTGATGGGAACGACACAACGACATCATGCTGAAGGCTGGAGGTCAAGGCATTGACGTCAGGTTTTCGCGAGCGGTCGAGGGGCTGTCTGTCTCGTTTTGAATCGGCTGCGAGCGGCGCTTTCAGCGGCTAAAAACATGGCGCATGGGCCTGGCATGGGCACGTCTATTCGCGAACAGCCAGGCCAGACCCTTGTTGGATCTGCCGAGGAGTTTCACATTTCACGGACGTCGAGGCAAATGTTTCGATGCGAGCAGGTCGGAAGTGCAGGATACGTCGGATTTCGTTTGGGGGCCGAAGCCATTCCTTGCCTAAGCTCTCCCCCAGTCTTTCCGCACTCGCCATGGCAGACCTTGCAGCAGCCACGGTAGATGCAGGCGCCACAGCCTGGGTGCTGACGTCCACCGCTCTGGTGTTCCTGATGACTGCCGGGCTGAGCTTCTTCTACGGCGGCCTGGTCAGGGACACGAGCATCATCAACACCATGACGCTTGGTGTGATATGTCTGGTATGTGTGAATGAAGTCTCTTTTTCACGTAGGGCTCTTCATTTGATTGTTTGAAGCCATCCTCATCGCGTGGTTTGTTTTTGCTTCACATATGTATATATATATACAAAAATATATATGTATATATATAAATATGTATATATATGTACATATATGTATATATATATATGTATGCATAATGTATAATGTATATCTTGCCATGTGCCTTTGGAGCAAAGGCGGGATATGGTGGGAAACGTAAATGAGGTCTCTCGCAACTGGTCCAAGAGCCAAGGATGATGAGCATCGTGTCCATGGGCGTCGTGACCATGACCTGGGTGATCCTCGGTTTCTCCATCGCCTTCGGCGAGAATGGCCCGGTGATCGGCAACGCGGACTACGCGCTCTTCATGAACCTGGACATGGCGCCCTGGGGCGAGTCAGGACTGCCGGGCCTGTGCTTCGCCTGCTTCCAGATGACTTTCGCCATCATCGCCAGCGCCATCATCTCCGGGTCCTTGGTGGAGCGCATGAGGTTCAGCGCCTACGTGGTGCTCATTGCTTTGTGGTCGCTGGTGATCTACGCCCCGCTCTGCCACTGGGTCTGGGGCCCCGGCGGATGGATCGAGGAGCTCGGAGCCAAAGATTTTGCGGGGGGAACCGTCGTGCACATCAGCTCCGGCGTGTCCGGCTTCGTGGCCAGCGGCCTTGTCGGCCCGCGCAGGCACGCGGAGAAGGAGCCGACCTTTGGGACATGCTCATTGGCTTATGCCGCTAATGGTTTCAAGTCCAACTCGGCAAGGATCCACGGGCACAAGTTTCCAGTCATAAGTTCCGGCACTCTCATGACACAGTCGATAGGAGTTGGGTCCGGCCAACGCGCCCTTCGTGATCCTCGGAGGCTCCCTGCTGTGGTCGGCTGGCTGGGCTTCAACGGGGGCTCGGCCCTGGCGGTCACGGATGGCGTGGCCTCGAGGGCTGTGGCCACCACGCTGATTGCGGCGGCATCGTCCATGCTGACCTGGACCGCTCGACCGACTCGTGACTCGTGACTCGTGATTCGTGCCGACTCGTGACTCGTGCCGACTCGTGACTCGTGCCGACTCGTGACTCGTGTCGACTCGTGCCGACTCGTGCCGACTCGTGCCGACTCGTGCCGACTCGTGCCGACTCGTGCCGACTCGTGCTGCATGTCGTCACACGGGGCCGACTTGTTTCGATCAGGATCTTCATGGAGCGGATGCTGAAGGGCAAGTCTTCCAGCGTTGGCGCCATGGCAGGTGCCGTCGCAGGCCTGGTGTGCATCACCCCTGCAGCTGGCTTTGTGACACCCGGCTGGAGCATCCTCTTCGGGGTGTTGGGCGCCCCATGGTGCTATGTGTCCGTTGAGCTGCTTAACAAGCTCAACTTTGTGGACGTGGCTCGGCAGCGTTTTTTGGGCCAAAAGGACGTCATCTGGACATGAACTGCTAAAGCATGCCATGGTCCTTTGCTTTTGTACAAGGAGGACACAAAGCACCTGCGGTTTGCGGCTTGAGTTTGGGGGGGGGAAGAATCCGGAGGATGGCTTGCAGTGCCTGATTTGAGTGAGGACACTTTGGACGCCTTCGGCCTGCACGGCATGGGCGGCATCTGGGGTGCGGTCCTGACGGGCATTTTTGCCTTGGAGGAGGGCCTGATCTAC